GATTCCCTTATGGAGAGGAGGGGAGGGGAGGGGAGAGAGGAGAGAGCTGGGAAGCCTTCCCTGCAGATAATTAACGAATTCCCTGCCATACCTCTCAGAAGGCAGGGGCCCATTTAACAAAGATCCACCTACACGGGCCTCTCAGAGCAGAGGGAGGCCATACAAAGCAACCAAGAATCCTGCAAGGGGCTTGTCAGAATGTTCAGAAGGCAATGGACAGAAATACAGAAGACTCAAAAGAAAAAGCACCACTGACCACTGAACTCAGAAAACAACTCTCAATCACTAGCAAGGAAAGAAATGCAAATAACAGAGAAATACTATTTTTTCTGCCTAGTCAATACCTATTCAAATGACAAAGATTGTTTTATGATGACACCCAAAATGTTTTTATGGGTGTGAGGAAACAGATGAGTACTCTCAAAAATCACTGGGGGAGTGTAAATTATTATAGGCTTTCGGTGGGGGGCATTGCTATCAAAAACCGAAAACTGTTTGTATTCCTTGACGTAATAATTCCATTTCTAAGACTTTATCCTAAGGAAACAACTCAAAATGTAGACAAAGTTAAATATGCAAGAATTTAAATACCAGCATCATTGTAAATAAAAACTAAATGCCTAAATGATTGAAAACAAGTATAATCCAACATGAGATGTAACTTTTAAAATCGACTTTTAAAACGTATGTAGAAGAGGTTTGCATTCCCAGCGGTAGAGAGGAACAAAGGTCATTCTGCCTGGCTATTTCTTGTGTTCAAGGTAATAATGACCCTGTGTACCACCCTTTTCACCTTATAAGGAACAGCAACATCAAATATCTCTCCTGAACCTCACAATTGTACCTCATGATTGCCTGTTTTTATTCCCATGTTGTTGATGAGAAAACTGAGGCTTACCAAGATGAAGTGATTTTTCCCTAGCAATATTAACCACCACTCATTAAAAACCTCAACATGCTAGTCTAGCCTCTTTTGCATGTTATTACTTATTGAACAAAATTTTAGAAACATTTAAGAAATGTGCAAACCCAGTGTTAGTTGCTAAGGAAACAACACTGAACAGGACAGACACTTCCTATTAAACACATGCCGAATATATTAATGTTAATGTTTTCACCAGTATTATCATGAAGCCCATTTTACAGATGTGCAAACTGAGACTCAGGACAGTTAAGTGACTTGCCCCAGGAAAGCCTGGCTTCAAACCCAAAGGTCACATACTTTCCATTTATGCCTAGAGACTGTCTATACTGCTCGGTCGCCGAAAGGAAACAGAGAACACTGTCTGTGGTAGGGGAAAGGGGCCAGGCAAGAAAAACCAGGCCTGGATGCCCAGCCCCTCCTGCACCTATTGTCAACAACTAAAGCAGGAAAGCAGATCCCATCTTCCATTTTCCCTGCTCTTCAAGCTTCCTTTCCCCCTCCAGGGACTGCCTCGCCCAAAGGGGCAGAACTAATTCCTGCCTACTCAGCCCCCAAGCACCACTTCCATATCCCCCTCCCTGGTCTCACACCGCCTGAAATCCCACCATTAGTAACTTTCAGGTGTGGGAACTCCGGAGAACCCCGTTCCTGGGAGGGGTATTCCATCTCTATCTCTGCACACAGCAGCCTTGCATCCCTGCACCTGGGCTGCCCACGTTTATGCGATAAGCTCGGCACCGGAAGAATGGGGAAAATGGGAAGGGGGGTACAGTCACTGCAGAGTAATTATAGGTGTAGGGGAACAGGTAGAGAGCCAAAGAGGACATAATCCCAGCACGGGTGGGGAGCCAGGGTCACCCAGAAACAGTATGAGGGAGAAAAGGGATGAAGACAGCATAATATTGCCAGCTGACCCTCCTAGCTGCTCGAGAACATTAATAAATAAATGAGTGACTTGGAAATTATCTCTGGGAAGGCAGAACCACCACATCCTGCATCGCTTTTACCCACGTTAAAATAGCCTTGTAAACGAAGCGGCAGCATTTCCAGCCTGCGAAACAAAAATGCTTTTGCCAGCACACCTTTCACCTGGAAAGCCTCTGAGCAGCATTCATTTCTGTGATCCAGGAGAAATGATTACCTGTCCTTGGTGCTTATTTTCAACACCTCCAAAGAAGAAATGAGTGCCTAAGAGCCCAGGGATTTGGGAGACTAGTTCCCCCAGTGCACTTCAGGAGAATAAGTACAAGGGCTCAAACCTGTCCTGTGGCCCTGGGGACCCCCAGTGCCCAAGTGTGCCCGCCAAGCCCTGGCTGGCCTGACCACAGCCTCATAACTAGACAGCAGCCCTCTCCCCCAACCAGCCAGCCTGTGTCGCCACACCTGGGGTAGATTCCTTTCCCAGGGAGCAGAGGGAGGTTTCCATCCTCCAGGTGAGAGAATTCCAGTGCAAAAAAATAACCTCCCCTACACAGCAGTTTGTAGAGCACGGCAGACAGCATTTAACAAAGCCACTTCGCCACCATATACACAGCAGCCAGGTTTATCCAAAGTCAGAACCCAAGTGGCCGCCCCCAGTGCCCTGTGCTGTCTATCTACATGGGGAGACTAGGGACCAGGGCTCACACTTGTCACCTAGAAGCCCCCACCCCCTTCCCACCCCATCCTCTCACTGACATTGGCATCAATGCACTTAGCCCCTCTCCCCAGCAGGAGGCATAACAGCCCAGTGGGGGTCCCATGGAGACAGAATTCAACCCCCTCCTTGCTGCTAAACCAAGCCAAAGGCAGCCTTTCTGTCCTCCCGGCCTCAACAGCTCAACCACAAGCCAGAGTAAGGGGAGGCGCCTCACGACTCACCCAGGTTTGACCACGAGCATTGGGGGAGTTGGGTCACCATAGTTGGTTTTACTCTCTCAACTCCAAATAGGATGACTCCAGGGGGTGCCCCAGAGAAATATCTGCCCATCCATCCCAGCAGCAGCCAATGAATCTATTTCTAACCAAAGCAGCAAAACAGGAGACCCCAGTCCTAGCAGAGCCTATTTCAGCTCCAAGGCTGGGGAGAGAGACTTCAAACTCAGTCTCTCTGCCTGTCCATAGAAAATCTGGGCTCCCTCCTGTGCCAGAGAAGCCACCAAGCCAGATTTTGTTTATAGAAAATTAATAAGACAATTCCACACCACTGCCAGTGCCATTCTGCTCCAACCGCTACCGTTTACCACCATTTCCAGAAATGGGCTTATACAGATTCACTCCCAACCCCCACTCCGCGCCCCTCCGGCATATGGCAAGGCTGACCTGAGGCCAAGCTCGGCAGGACCTGCTCGAGGTCATCTCAGCCATGCCCCAACCTCCAGCCAGGGTTGCCAGCCAAGCGTTCGCCAGCTTCTCGGTGCAGGCTCTCCACTGGAAGGAGGTAAACATGGCATGCACGCCGTCCGCTCCCGGGAGGGCAGACACACTCAGAGGCCGGACTGCCTGCTGTCTCTCCTGCTCCCCGACAATCAACACATGCACATAAAACGGGGTACGTACACAAGCCCCCGCATGCGGGTGCAGAGGGTCCTGACCCCCGCCAAGGAAAGCGCAGAGAAGGGCATATTCCTGGGGGAGAAAGCCGGAGGCGGGGCCGGGCGGAGGGAAGAAGGCAGCAAACCGGGTGGCCTGCCGCCCAGACAATAACAAAGATGGGAAGCGAGATTTTCAAAGACGCAGTGGCTGCACCCAGCGCTGAGCTCTGGCCTGGCTGCATCTGCCTGCCTCGGCACGCCTGGTCCCCTGGGGCACCATGGCCATCAGAGAAAGGCTGAGGGTCCTGCCTTGGGCTAGGCTTGGCAGCTGGGGCAGGAAACTAGCTGCAGGCAGCGGTAGGATGCACTGGAGAGAGCAGCTCTGGGCTGGTAGAAATTAAAGGTCTAGTAATTCTGGGGCTACTCTCCGGAAAGATGCTAGGGGTCAGTTAAAGTCACTTAACCTTGGGCAGAAGTTGGGCTATAACTTGTACTCCTTTCCTTGCTAGAACCAAGGGGGAGCGGAAACACATCTTCCTTCTCCCTGTGCCTCCCCTACTCGCCAACTTGCCAATCATACACAGAGCACAGCCCTATGAAGACAGATGCCCGGGGCCTGAGCTCTCGGGGCTGAATGGTGCCTGCCCATTCTTTCACCTCCACGAGCTGAGCAGGGACATGTTCTGACTGGCACCGGATTCCATCACTGTACCTGTGCTCACTGGAAAGGTGCCGCGGCTGGCACGGCTCAAGGACTGGGACCTGGGCCCGGAGGGACTGTGTCTGCCCAGTGCCCCTACACCCGGACAGGATGGCTTGCCCTTGCGAGCTGAAGCCTGTTCTGTTGCCGGGACTCCAGGCAGGCTGAGCCACCTCCTCCCTCTCCTCTGCCCCACAAGCCACCTCCCCCTGGAATTTCCACACCCTGCTCCTAGCTTGCCCAGGAAAAGGAAGCAGGGAACAGGAGACACCCCTGGGAGTGGAGAGGTAAGGAAGAGAAGCAGCTGGCCAGACTGGAGAGGAGAAGGCCCTTCTTCCCCGGCCTCAGGCGATGCCCCTGAGCCAGGGCGCCGGCACTGCCCGCTCTGCTCGCCTCCAGCAGAGCGTGCGCCCTACTTAGAGCAGATGTGCCCCCTAAGCGGCCCAGCCCCCTGCTCCTCCCCTCCAGATGTTCACCCTTTTCTTCACCACTGGGGTTCAGCAAAACCCAGCGGGAAATGCCTTTTGCGTCGGACACCCAGGGGCTCGGGAGGCAGGGGGTGAGTCTGTGGGTGGAGGACCACTCTGGCCCCGGCTCGGGGCACGCACCGCCGGGAAACAATGCCCAGCTCGGCGAGGCGAGGCAGGACTTCTCTGCCAGGCGCTTCCTGCCCGGCCTCAGCGGGGCACGAGAGGGCCCGGCGTGCCCCGCAGTCCGGCGGCCCCGCGAGTTGCCGGAGGGCGGCGTGGCGTGCCCTCCCGCCTCAGCGCCCGCGCGGCTCCCGCTTTGTCCCCGCGCCCTCCCGGGCGCACCCGGCGGCGGCACGGGGAGGCCGGGCCGGGCCGGGCGGCGGCGGGCTCACCTCTCATTGTCCGCGGCGGCGGCGGCGGCGGCGGCGCTCCGGAACCCCGGCAGGATGTGGCGGAAGCTGTGGTTGCGGTCCAGCTTGGGCTGGCTCTTGGTGCGCTTGATGGAGCCCTTGAGGCGGCGGCTGAGGAAGCCCTGCGCGCGGGGCGACAAGAAGGGGAAGGGGAGGCGGGGTTAGCGCGGCCACGGAGCCCGGCCCGGGACCCGCACGGGACCGCACGGGACCCGCGCCCCGGCTCGGGCGGCCGCGGGCTCGGGCTCGGCCCCAGCAGCTCGCGGCCCGCGCCGCCCGCCCGCCGACCGAGCGCCGACGGCCCGGCCCGCGCAGCGCGGCCCAGCCCACCCCGCGCCGCCCGCCGGCCCAGCCTAGCCCAGCCCCGCTCGCCACGTCGCCCCCGCCCCCTAAGCCGCTGTTGCCATGGCGACGCGAGCCGAGTCGCGCCGGCCGTGGCCGAGGCTGCCCGAGCCCCCCGGGCGAGGGGGCCCAGGGACGTGGGGGCCCGGAGACCAGGGGGCGGGGCTGCGGAGGGGCGGGGACGCCCGGGGGCTTGGGCGGCCGAGGCCTCCTCACCTCTTTCCGAAACGAGGTCACACCCCCCACCCACCTTGCCAAATCCACGCCCCCCACGACGTTTCAGATTGACAAAGCGCCTTCCTCCACCGCGGTCGATGTTCTCAGCCCCGGTTACACAGATCGGGTAACTGAGGCTCTGAGAGCAGGCGGGTGGTCCTCTAGGGGCCCGCAGACTACTCTGGCCACCTGGACCCTTAACCGGGGTGCCTTTCTTTCCTCTGACGACCATCACCTGCCCTCAGGGTGGAGCCCTTTGCCTGGGGCCATAGTATCCCAGCAGGGGGAACCACCTTGGGCTCAGGGTTCCTAGCGCCTAGCCCAGGGAAGGGCCGAGGCGCTGAGGATTTGCCGAGTATCCCCATTGCATGCTTCAAGATTTGGGGCCAGGTCCCAGGGAAGTCTGGGCCTTAGCTAGAGGGACAGCTGCCTGGCCCCCTTGGTGACCCATGGTGGGGAGGGGTCTGCTCCTGAGAGGTGTATGGCAGACCTCAGCCCGGGGTGGGGGGTGGGGGGGCATTCAGGCCATTCCTCCATCTACCAGGCTTCCCTGGACTCAGGACAGAGCTCAATCCCACCTCCAGCCCGGAGAGCTCCTAGCCCAATGGCGGAGACAGTTGTTCAATACTGTAATGCAGGTTGGACCAGTGCTCCCTTTACAAGGAAGTGGGTAGATTTGGAGCCTCAAGGGGCCACAGCCTGGGGTGTTCTGAACTTGGAACATGAAGGAAGCTGGAGGGAGAGGAAAACTGGGGTGGGGGGAGGAATTCCCTAAGGGAGAATTTGTCTGAGAGGGTTCCAGGATTCATCAACCCAGTCTCAATTCCAGGTGAATAGGATAGTAACTTCTTTTGAAACTAATGTTGTACACAATCTGAACATCACATTTCACCCATCACACAATAGAGGTAGCCTTGGGGCCCTCTCTAGTCCAGGGGGAAAGGTGGACAATTGCTGTAGGTCCTGTTCCATGCTGGACCTGTCCCTCTCTGTGGCCCCAGTAGCCTAGACATGACAAGGTCAAACACTGACTGTACACATCATCTCGTCACTCACACAAACAGAAAAAACATCATCCCTTTCTGCAAATAAAGAAACCTTGCTCAGAGAGGTAAAATGACTCTCCCAAGGACACAGTTCCCAGGCGTACCTGAAGCCAGAGTTTTACCACAGGTCCCCCTCTTCTGCCCACCCTCTTCAAGCTTTCCCTTTTCTTTTCTCCCCTTATTTTTTCCTCCCACTTGCTCTCTCCCATCCATGGGAGACCTATCCCTGTGGCTACCTGTCAGAATTCTGCACATCTTACAAGGCCCAGCTAAAATGCCACCTCATCCATAACGCTTAGGCAGTGGAGTCCAAATATTAAGTGCCTCTCACTCTGCAGCTCAGGAATACCCATGAAGGTGCTCTAACCAGCTATAGTTCACCAGATATCTCCTAGGTGTTTAGTTGCAGGAGGAACCCTCTTTCAGAGGGGTGACCCATAGAGCAATGCCTGCTGCAGAAGGACCACAAATGGTGGCAGAGCAGGGGACAGCAGACCCTCCAGGAGACACAGCAAGAAGGCAGGAACCCAAATCTTCATGCAAGCTCTGGACTCGCCAAACCTTGGCCCCTTGCCAGGTATGGGGGGAGGGGAGATGCACCTGGCTAACTTGGATGGGTTCTTCTCTAACAGGTGTTGCTGTCAAGCAAGTTCCCCCAATGGGCTTGTACATTTTCTTGTTTTTTATTTTCTACACTGATGGAAATTTCACAATTTCTACACTCTTGTGGCACAAAGAACCATGAAGCATGTTTCACAATTTATGTAGCTCATTATGTAGCAATATTGACAGCTTTATCCTATTTTTGAGCTAAAAATTTTTTTTCTCCCTTCTAGGAGGTTAAATGAGGCATGTGTCACCTCCTCTCCCTACCTTTCCTCGGGTGACACTTAATGCTCCTCTGACAAGCAGCCTCCAAACTGACCACGACCTTAGGGACTCAAACTTTCCGTAACATTCACTCGTTTGCCATTTATCAAAGAACACTATACGTTAGATACAGTGACCAAGATGGTCATGAACACTTGGAGGTGAGCAATATACAAATTAAGAGGCCAGAGCATTCAGATCATGCAGAGTGATTCTTTAGGAGAACAGGGAGGACCCCATTCACTCCCCCCACACCACACATGTCCACCTTTGTGTCCCCCAGATAACCTAGCTCAGGTCCCAGAAACATATAACAGGCTTAACAAATGCTCATCATCCCAGAAAGCCACAGCTAGAAGAGGACTCAGATCGAAAAGACTGCATCAGCAGGGTGAATGAGGCCCCAAGGTCACACAGCAAGTTCAAAGACCCAGGACTCCAGTTCCCTGCTCTGCCCAGCCTCACAGCTTGCTTACTGACCTCTTCATGGGGTGGAGGGCCAAGGGTGGCTCCTCACTCCTAGACGAAGGGTGATGAGCCTTTTCTCCTATCCCTTCATGGGCATGTTCCAAGACATGATTTCTGGAGGCGGCTACAGCCCTGAACTCAGAAAGAGAGACTGACTGGTCTTCAAGTCAGAAAATCTTGTTCTGCACCCAAGTCAACCTTTAATGAGGGGCCATGGGCAAATCATGTCCCTTCTTGAAGTAAAGCAGGTTCTAGGACAGCACTTGAGAGCTGGGAGCTAGAGGCAGGTGAACAGGGCTCAACTCAGGCTCCACAGACCCCCTGGCCAGCAGATGGCCGGCAGGGCCCCTCACTTCTCTGTGGAATGGGTGGAGGATGCAGTGGGGATTAAGAAGGACAGATAAAGCTCTGGACCCCTCTTTCCATACCCCCAGCACCTGCCTTTATCCCACCTTTTCCAGGAGGCCAATCCAACATAAGCTGGCCCTACTGATCACACCCCTCGGGTTAGCGCAAGTCCTCTCCCACCAATTCCGATGAGCTGGGGGCAAATCACTAGACCTCTCTGAACCTCAGTGTCCCTCTCTATAAAATGGGCTAATGATATCTATAGGGTGAGAGTAATTAAACGAGGTAAGAGATCACCAGTAAAATGATAACTATTAAGCAACTAAACAGTAGTTGCCAGCTTTATTATTGTTATTACTGATGTGTCTCTAGAACAACGACTTTCAACCTTTCTCACCTCATGGCACACATAAGCAAATTACTGAAATTTTAGGGCACATGGGTTACAAGTCGCTGCTCTAGTACCACCACTAATTCTTGCTCTGAGAAGGGATGCAACCACCACAGGTGGAAGTCTGTTGGGGTAAAGAGAGGAGCTTGGAGGTGGCCTGGTGGCCTGGTGTCGCGTCTAGTAAATGAACGAACACTCTTGCAAAATGATGCTGGAGCCACAGGCTCTCATGCAGTGTGGTAGTTTTGAACTCTTTTAAACAAGCACTGTATTTTTAAAGCCATCACACAGAGACTGTGGAGGTACAAAGTGCCGGAGGGGGGAGGGGGTGCTCCGGTGGAGGCCTCAGCTTTCATTCACTAGAGCAGGGACTGATGTCTCAAGCTCAGTGAGCAGCCTGCGCAGTCCGTGGGAGCCGAGCCTGCTCCCTCCCCAGACGGGGCGCTCCGCCTCCACCAGCACAGCCACGTTCCATGTGCTTCTCAGACCTGTGTCCCTGGACTTAGGTCAGCTAAGGCCCCAGGGGCGTTTTGCACAAGGCTTCTGCCTGCTGCCCATTCCCAGTGGTTGGGTGCTGACAGCCGTGTAGCCTCTGCTGCGTCTGTGATGACCTGCTGCCCATTCGGAAGTCCTCCCACCTGGCAGATCCACAGGACCTCAGGGCTTCATTCATGCCACTGACCAAAGGGCAGGGCAGTCCCAAGCGGAGGACAGAAGCCTGTGGGGGTTCCAGCTGGAAGGACCCCAGCTCTCGGCAGCTCCCCCACCCATTCAGCCACGACGCCACCATCCTGGCATCGGGCTCACACCTGTGCTCCTTCTCCAGGATGCTCTGAGACTTTCTCAAGGGCTTTTCAGAATTCCAGACACACGATTTCTTCACTCACCCATTTCAATCAATTCCAAGCGATGATGATGATGATAAATTACCAGTTATCATGCTCCTGCTCTGCCAAGTCACTCTGTACCCGACACTCACTGCACACGTCCCAGGGAGGGCCCAATGCCTCTTACTGGGACTCCCTGGGAAGCTGTGTGCCTTAGAATTCAGAACATTTCAGGGGCAAATGAGGCTCAGAGAAGTTAAGTCACTTGCCGAGTTGCAGAGCTGATAAGCAGTAGAGCTGAGAGTGTAACCAGGAGAGTTCTAGCCCATGGCGTGAGCAGGGTGAGGGTTCCCCTGTGCATGCACGCGCGCACACACACACACACACTTGCACACATGCATAGACAAGTCAAAGGCCAGAACGGGAGCTGATAGCTCAGCCCAATCTCCCCACACTCAGCCCCAGGCACTGTGCTGGGCCTCTGGATGGGAGGGCAAAAGGGAAGGTGCACTTTCTCCTGAGTGCCTGGGACTCACCCATGAGGATCTGGAGGCTCAGGGATGGGAGGCCTTGCCCAGTCCCATCCTCATGGGTGCCTCACGCCCTGACCAGGA